AGACCCCTGCCAGCACTGAGATGCTTCCACCACCACTGGATCCGCAAGACTTTCCACCCACTGGCCTGCGATCTTTCCACACTCGGCGTCATTGCATGCGCTCTGTGAGTCTGAAGAGGAATTTATGAACTAGTACTGACATATGGGACAATATTGGACTTATGGATTTGATCTGGACTATATGGGATGTTTTCTTAATGTACTCTTTGAAATCAAGCTCTCTCTGATACACATGTTAGTGTCTCTGGATTTGTTTCCCTAGTCCACGCAGACTAGCACAGTGACGGGTGTGTGTGGAGCACAGAGGACCCCTGCCCTTCTCAACAGCAAGTGCTCGCAGCTCATGATGCAAAGACCTTCTGAGCGTGGAACCCTGAGCGGGATCGAAGAAGCCCTGAAGTGAGTTCTTCAGAGCCATTCGGACAGTAGAGCAACAGTTGAAAGTCTGAACAATGGCGGATTCATCACAGCGGCAGAAATAAACGTTTTTGAAACAGTCCTTGATAAGTTTAAAAGAAGCTGTGAACTGCTGTGATAACCACACGGGCCTTATGAGTCCGTCGGATATTGGCCAGATAACATTTTGACTCATTTAATGGGGGACCTGTAAACTTGTTGGAAATTTATGACTTGGTCTTCTGTTTTAATTGGATTTACATGACTTAATTTATATTTTTGACCAAACTTACAAGATTCTATTACAAGAGGCCTTTATTAAGCAGGCATAAAAGCCAGCAGGCTAAACTAGAAGTCTTTTAAAGGGATTTGAATTAGGCCACTTCAGTAGTAAATCTTGAAAGTAATTTATTCATAACGCTACTGGGCACTGAGACCGAACATTAAGAAGCGACCAACCAAGGAGTTGTGGAAATATTTGGGTTGTGTTTGCTGAGAACAGGCGCTGTGATTGAAGGGACGCTGTCCGTCCTCAGGGGGCACAGAGGGCAGAGAGACTGTGTGCCGTGGGGGTGTCCCAGGAAGCTCTTGGAAGCCAGTGGCCACTGTTCCTTTTCTCGAACTCTCCAAGACATTCAAGGTCCCAGCATTATTTGGTAAAGAGCTCAACAACAACCCCGGGGGATGCTTTCGAAGCTGGTCTTCCCTCTATCTTGCGTGTGCTCACTGCTTGCACTTGTGGCAGGCCGACTCCCTCTCCACGGACCACGGCTCAGGGACTCGTGCCTCCGAATCACCTGCCACCCATGGCGACCCGTGTGCAACAGAAGGGCAGGCGGCCCTCTCCGTGCCCGTGCGTGGGCTCCAGGCGCCGTCTCGGCTGCGCGCCAGCCCACCTCACCGATGCCGACAGATGTTTGAGCGGGGCTGCACTGAGGTCACTGAACTCCGAGGTCTCCGTCCTGCTGGACCTGGTCACCTCCGGGCTTCTGGGTGGACTGGAGCAGCAGAGCTGGGGACACAGATGTGAGCTGGTGGAGGGGCCAGACCTTGCCGTCAGCTGGAAAGGCACACTTTTGCCTTTAAGCGGTCAGTGAGGGAGTTCTCGCCCGAGTGTGATTCCTGGCTAGAGCATCCCACGTGAGGCATCCGCCCTTCTGTCCTTGGAGACCTGGGTGCCGCTCTGCTGTGCAATAGGGGTGAGCAGAGCGTTCAGAGCAAGGCAGGCTTGAAAGAAAGGCCACCTGCCGAAATTCCACCGATGAAAACCCCGTGGGTCAGGGTACCTGACTGCCGTGAATCTGGAACTCAATCATTCATCAACACGAGCATTTCAAGATCTAGCTTGAAGTATAATGCTGTCTGTGATACAATCATATCTACAGCCACACAAGGAAATCCAGGGCATACAGCTATCATTCAAACTTATGCACCAACTGCTGAAGCCAGCGATGAAGGAGATGAAGAATTTCACCAAGGACTGCAGTCTGAAATTGCCCAAACACGTGATCAAGATGCATGGGTGATTACTGGAGGTTAAGCGTTGAAAACAAAGAGGAAGGAACAGTGATTGGAAAATCGGTGCAGAGCGGAGATCCCACGATCCCATTTTGCCCGCGCAATGACAGTCTTCACAGGAAGGGGATGTTGATGAATAAGATCACTTGTTGACTGTGAGGGTCGGGGTCTTTCTCGATGCTATGCCTACTCCTTTAAAAAGATTGAAGTTGCAACATCTGTACAAACATGCTGGATACAATTGATGTATGGAACATTGTAAGAGCTGCAAAAGCCCCCAATAAAATGAACTGAAAAAAGATAAAAGCAGTTACAAAAATAAGACCAGGATGTTATATCTTGAAAAAAGCAAAATAACAACAAAAAAATTAAAATAAAAAGGTTGACGTTGTCAACGATTTCATCTTGCTTGGATCCACAATTAATGTTATGGAAGCAACAGTCAAGAGGTTGAAGGGCACGTCTCACATTGAGTTACTATGCTGCACAAGACCCGTTCAGAGTGTTGAAAAGGATCTTTCTGCATTTTAACCTCACTTTAAGCACTTTTGCAACATGCTTTTTTGTAGTACAAATTTAACTTAGAAATATTGTGGGTTCAGTTCTAGATCACTGCAATAAGCAAATATTGCAATAAAGAGTCACAAATTTTCTGTTTCCCAATGCTCATAAATGCTATGTTCATCCAAACTATAGTATATTAAATTTGTAATAGCATCCCCCCCAAGAGGGTTGAAATCTGAGAATTACCAAAACGCAACACAGAGAGACAAAGCGAGCAGACGGTGTTAGAAAAAATGGCACCAGTAGCCTTGCCCAACGAAGGCTAGCCACAAATCTCCAATTTGTAAACAACACAGTTTCTGCAAAGCGCGATAAACTGTAGTATGCTGACAAAGAAAATAAAAAAGAAGCAGAGTGTTGCCGAGCAAGGATGTTCCTTTAAGGACTAAGGTACGCCGGACCCCAGCCCTGGTGTTTTCAGTTGCCCCTGTGCATGTGGGAGCTGGACATCGAATCAGGAAGCCTGAGGAAGAACCCTTGCACTTGACGGCAGTGCTGGCGAAAGTTCTGAGAGCCCAGGGGACGGCCACCGAGCAGACACATCTGTCTGGAAGAAGTGCAGCCATCAAGCTCGTTAGCAGCAAGATGGTAAGAAAAGACTTTGGGCGTGTTCTTAGGAGAGAAAAGGACCTGGTCAAGC